GACGAAACCAAAGTGGGCGTGGTCGAGCTTCGATTAAAAGGTTGCGAAAGTGGCTCTGGGGGCGAAGCCCCCGAAAAATTTAACAATTTATGGGTTCCAAAGGCTTATTTAATCGATTTTAGAGTCTACTAATATGTTGAAAATACATATATAGGCCTATATTTTTTTCCCCTGACGAATTGTGCTTTTTCTCCCTGACGAGGGGGGGGGGGGGGGGGGCCGGCCAGCTCTCCCCGGCCCCCCGCTGGCGCCACCCCTGATTTTTTTAATTTAAAATCTATTTATGATTTACTCGACTACTGCAGAAAAAAATAATGTAGCCTACTGGTTCAAGGTTTATGGGCTCGTGATAAAGATCACGAGATAAAGCTAAAGATCATGGGATTACCAGTATGTCTATGGCACGCACTTTGCTATGTTGTAGCAACACGACCACCAATATGGTCCTCCTCGGCATACTGATTTTCACGGGCCAAATAGTCAGTTCAGTGCCACTTTAGGGGATTTTCTCGGTTAATCGGCTGCCGTATATGACCCTTTACTTTGAATTAAGGGTTGTGTATTTAGAGGGTTTAGGCTAAAAACTAGATAAAGTTAACATAATTTTTTTTTTTCAAAAACATGGAACCGTACTTGCTGAAGCCTTCTAGAAACTGTTAAAGTTGTTTAATTAAACAATGCTAGATTATTACCAAGCAAAATATACTACTTTATACCGAATAATTGCAAAATTACAATAATATGTATCTAGTATCCAGTCAGTTTTAAGGTATACGCCTAATTTGCTAGGCCGAAATGGGTTATAGTCTCGGCCTATATGGCTATATAAAAACCTAGGCCCAGATATTATTTCTAATTTTTTACATATTCAACTTGTAGTGATTGTGGGACGAATTAGCCTGTATTCAATCCTCTGAATTTGCATGCGATATAGGTCAGGTTCCGGTTTTCTCAAAACAGTTCAGTAGGCCTAGTCATGATTTTTAAAAAATAAAAATGAGGTGGTAACGAAATATTTCTGATCAATATGCCTTCATAATGAGTCGAAATTAAGGATCGACAATGCAAATGTATTTGATTTTAATGACAACATTTTAAAATCTATTTTCCAGTTTATATTAGGTTTATTTCTGTTTTCTACACAGGCCTAGGCCTACGTTCATAACATCGCCAAACTGTGTGTGATTCATTGCGTTCCATAGGTGGTAAAAACTTTAGTCACGTCCTGATTTCAAGGTGCCACCGTTTGACTGCCCTGATTTTGTATGCACGAAATGGAACGTTAAAAAAACGTACTGCCACGAGATAGGGGGCAGCCTATTATAATTCGAAGAGTTTGCTCGAAACTCGTCTTTTAAGAACACGCCCCTTTGTGGCAGGCCTTTTGAAATAGGATTACGTTACAACGAAACCACGAGGCGAGAGTCGGACCTCTCTATCTTGCTTGCAGTTCTACACTGCATACTTTTTGCTACCAACCACCCATGTCATGGCTTCTTCTAACAACAGTTTAAGCGAGTTTTTCAGGTATATTTCTTGATGCTTTACATTATTTATTCAGACATTTTGGAAATATCCTTAATCCTTAATATGTATGAATGTTGTGATCCGGGTTTTCGCGTGTTGACTCTCAATTAATTAGATAGGTAGGCTAGGCTAGTAATAGTATAGGCCTAGGCCTAGCCATCATTTAGGTAGCAGGACATAGGGTCAGGACTGCTAGGGCAGGCCTAGGCTATGCCTACCACAGGTAGGCCTAATTAATGGTCGTTGAGTGTGCTAAGTGGGCTGTGCCTGGGGACGGGTCGTTTCGGTCAGAGTCGTTTTGGCCAGGGTCGTTTCGGTTTGATCCGCAGTTTTTTCAGCGTTTGTTTTATAATATTGGCCCATTAAAAAAAATTACAAGTTTATCGCCCATTCTTGCCCGCATGTCTTCTAATGGTATTGAAAAAAAACCAATTTTTTTTTAAATTAAAAAGAAATTATTTATTTTTTTTAAAACATTTTTTTAGTAAATAGCAAATGCTGTTTGTAATAATAATTTAATATCTCAATCATGTATTTTACTTTGACTACCAATGCACCAGCAAACAGCTTAGCTTTAGCAAAATAAATATAATAAAGATAAAAAGCCTCCCTCCCATTACTTTTCCGGCCTAGATAGGGGGTGATAAACTAATAATTATTTTTATTGGACCTGTTTTTCAGCATTTCAAAAAATATCCGTATTGTGTAGGCCTAGCTAGGAGGCCTTGCTCAAACAATATTAATTATTTACTTACAGTAATAGGATTTACTGTATATTATGGAGAAGAAGGTGTTTTTTTTCCCTGGTCGTTGGTTACAGAATCCGGACCATCATACACAACATATAAACTCCTCCGCTACCTGGGCCGGGGGAAGTTCCATCCTAGTTACGCGTATAACAGTGTTGGCGCCAGTGGGAGACAGGGCAGCGAGAATTTTCCCTGCCGTTGGACAGCTATGGACCCCCTGTCGTCCGACGCCACAACTAGGTCGTCGGCTCAAAAATTTAAAAAATAATAATTTGCCTATCCAAACAATGTTATTTTGATTGAATTTGGACGATACAAAGCCGTAAAAACTCCCTGTAAACCTTACCAGCGATTTTTTATTCTGGGCCATCGACCGAGGCTCTAGTTGGCCTCTTGGTTTGGATCCTTCCGTCGACAAATTTCTGGTGCCACCGCTGGCATATAATTGACACTACTAATTTTTTGTAATCAATACTACTAAGGCTTTTTGTAACTACTGTATACCTACTGACTATAAAAACCGGGCTTTGGTTAGATTGTCAAAATTTTGGGGCTGGGCGCACCTCCAGTCTTCCGAATTTTGAGGTGTTGGAAAGTCTTATTTCGTAACCTGGACATATTAAGGGGATCAATGAAATTGCAATACTGTAATTCCCAAGTAATAAAATATAAGCCACCCACTGAACACAAAATTGAGCCAAATTTTGGGGTGAACTTATACATGGGGGAATCCCCTTTTTAAACCATTTACAATTATTTGGCACTGTATGCCTAATTCAAAGCCAATATTTGATGTTTTTTTCTGAGAATATTTGTAAAAGTGATACATTGGGCTTTTGCCCAAGGAAATGCTGGAAATTGTTATATAACTTACTTGTTAGCATATACTTATTTTTTATTTTCTGAATGTACTCTTCAAAATTTCAGTCCTTTCTAACTCCCATTCTCACAACTACCATATCTACTGTTCTGAAATACCAATTATTATTTGTGCGCTGTTTACACAGTTCAAAAAATTTACGCTAAATGTGGCAAACACAAGCCAAACCAGTCACTAGTCACAAAAATTGATTGTTAGTTATTAATACAGGATTAACCAGTAAAATGAGAGCTTTACAATGATAAAAGAATAATTTTAAAAAATTGCCATTCCAGCATGTTTTGGTCATTATCTCTAAAACATGATTTGTGACGAGTGACTGGTTTGGTTTGTCTTTGCCACAAAAACTTTTTTAGCCAATCTCTCCCTTCCCCCAAGTACCAAATTTCCCCCACCCAAAGTGTCACTTTTCAATACTTTATGAATTAAACACTCTAACCTTCCTTTCAGTTATGTTGATGAGCATGAAGCGGATTATGTGGAAAGACTAGCTGATGCTGTTGCCATCAAGAGTGTCTCAGCTTGGCCTGAAAACAGAGATGATGTCAAGGTTATGGTCCGCAATGTTGCTCAGGTATAAATAGCTACAATTTTCTGATATCAGTATTTTTATCTGTATTATTTTGTGAAGGTGATTTAGTGCATCAGTAATGATAATAATAATTTATTAGGAGACTACACTTTTAAAACATGATAAAGGTGCATCTGAAATTAAGTTAACACAAAATTTACAGCATACAATACAAAAACAATGTAAAGATAACAAGGTCTTAAGTACGAATAGAATAAATGTCACTCAAGTAATTGACAAAGCCAACACCATCCAACACCCGCCCCCATCAAAGTATCATTGGAAAATGAAGCCTCAATAGCAGCGAATGCCGATCAAAATCGCCCTGCCAATCCACGAGGTGACCCTTGTTCCATTTAATATTAATACATACAAAAAAAATCACCAAAACTCAAACTAAAAATTTCTAATACCGTAAATCTGAAAGGAAAATAAAATAAACTGTATAACAAATTAATTAAAAATAAAAGAATTTAGAGACAATCCCCTACTCTTTTCCGAAGAGTGTACTGCGTTCTTTAACGTGCACATGGGCTATATTGCACAAGAGACCAACGGCTTAAACGTCTCATCCGAAAGACGGTGTGCTATTGTAACTTGTATTTCAGCCCTCTAGCTGAAACACAAGGAGAGGCAGCGATGGGAATTGAACCGGGGACCTAGAGATCTCCATGGTTC